CCCCAAAACCCCAAAACCCCAAAACCCCAAAACCCCAAAACCCCAAAACCCCATTTTACTTGCCCTGAGTTGAAATACTTCCTTAATTGAACCTTTATCCTCCAAGTTCTATATAAGGCGAAATTTAGAGAAAGGATAATTCATAGGGTAAAGGTCTGAGGAGAGTTTAGGAGGAGGAGATGGGTTGTGGCAATATTAGCATATTTGAGATGGCGTCGGTGGATTTAGTGGTGCCGAACAAGGATTTTAGGGTTGGGTTGATGACATTAAGGAAGATTCTTTAGTTAGGATGCTGGGATTGTGTCCCTCTAGAAAGCCAAACAACTTTGTTTTGGGCCTAAGTCTTAGGTCTGCCAAGCCAAGCAACTGAAGAGTAAATCCTTCATGAATATTATGATGAAATTATATTAGAAGTGTGTGGGTGGTTTATTTAATATACTCAAGTTTGTTCTTTAAGTGATTTTCAAGAGATTCATACCTATTTCGACCAGTTTTTGAGGAATAGAGGACCTTCACCCTCAAGGTCTTCTTCCTCAGAGATCTGTTCACAGTCAAATCATAGCAAGGAATTATTGCTTTTGGGCTATAATGAAGGTTACACCATATTTGGAAAAGATTTTAAAATATGTTGAAAAGGGAAATTGTACATCCAAATAGAGAAATCACCGACTTTAATTGGATAAATATTTCTCCAACCAGCCATGTTGGAGAGAATTTAGAGTTGCGAAATTTATATTTTGGTCCTTAAAGAGTTACCCAAGGGGGTAGACATTCACCTGAAATAATAATTCGAAGCAAGTGTTTATAGTAAAGTATGGGCGCGACTGAATAAACTGAGATTTTAGAACGAACTCTATTAGTGGCCAGAAAGGACATAAAACAGCCATTAGGAGGACAGCTTTCTGATTTCAAAAATCAGCTGCTAAACCAGCAGTTTAGCCTGAATTACTTACTCTGGGGTAGGAAATATTCCTGACTTGGGAGGAATCATTAGTTGGATGGTGTCCTGCTTGACTGGTAATTCAAATAATTGAATAACTCTTTGTTTCTCTTTTCTGTACATATTGTTCATATTTGATAAATTCTATGAGCTTATATACAGTTGGGGTTTTGGGGTTTTGGGGTTTTGGGGTTTTGGGG